AACAATCGGTTGAAGAAGGAATATCGTTGCTCTCATGATCAAACTCTTCTACATAAAATAGTTTGTAAAATTTTCGAAGAAGAGCATTTCGTAGTTCGTGAAAAAGAATTAATTCTGTTTTTAGCACTTCAGTTGGAATCGATATAGCCTTTCCGGTGAATCCCTTAAAGATATTTTTTCTGGTTAGCAATTTTTTAATTATTTGAACTCTATCCAATACCTTATGATTCACTTCACTGGGCTCAGTAATAGAATCATCAGTGGCTTCAAAATTCAAAAAATTATTAAATTCGATCATAATTCTGAATAAAGTTTTTCTAGAACCTGAAATTAATAGAAAGTCATTGAGTTTATTTGAGTAATACTCGTGTACAATTTTCCTCTTACTTTTGGATTTGCTAATGTCTTCATTGCTACATCCGTTTCCTATAAAATTCATTCCAGCAGGGCAGTAGAGATTAAAACATTCTCCGTAGAAAGGAACGTAGATTTGTCGCGGGCCACAAAGTTTGTTCTGGGTGTGCACTGGGGAATCTAGTTCATTTGTTGCTGCTGGGAATATATCAAACAGTGAACGAAATGTAACAACGTCTTTAAAAATATCATTCTGCTTCGATATCAAACAGAAGCTTTCATTCCCAGCATATGCAAAATCTTTTTTTAAATATGATATATTCTTAACAACTTGAGTGTGTGCTTTTAGATTTGAAGCATACAAACAATGTCTATTTTTCTGCAAATATTCTGGTATGTTGTCTTGAAATACGTATTGGTATTTTTCGCATAATAATCTAGTACTGTACTCTTCATCGACTCCATTCGTAAAATCTTTACGTTTATCGTGCAAGATGTTGCTATCGTTAGAAGGATAACAAAAGCGGGGATATTTGTGTATTGCTCCCTCGCTAATAGCTGAGAAAACGGACAAGTGAAGACTGCGCTTAACTTGCGTTCTGTATTTTAGATAAGATAATTCATCTGCAGGAAAACCATTACACAGCGCGCAGAAGATATTTTTAAAGAAAACGAAGGTACGTCTGTTTAAGGCGACAACTTGTTCTTTTGTTGTTGTTGTATTAAATTGACATTTTGAAATAACTTCATCTTTAGTGTACTCATGAGACAAACGCTTCAAATTTCTCATTTGAACTTCGAATTTTAATTGTACTTCTTTATTTTCACTACATTTTGAAACCATTGTCATAAAGTACCCAGCATCTTGATCAAATTCGCAAGTTGAGTGTATAGCCAATTGTAGGCCTTGATAATATCTGTCTAACTGCCAGTATGATGTCAATCTGCTTAGCTCTTTATTTAAAATATCAGAATAGCTGTGGTATATATCAATGTTGAGACAGACCGAGTAGTAATCAGAGCAACAGTCGCCGTAGACCCAACACAGATTGTCGCAATGACAGGGGTATCTGCTGCCAAACAGCTGAGAAGTGCGCAGCTTTCCACACAAGCCATTGCAGGATTCCCATGTGCTTTGATTTAGAAGGAAACAACCAACCGTAAAATCTTTTTTCCAATTTTTTCCGTGTTCCACATATCTCATTTTCATTTCTGATTGGTTAAGAAATAATGTCATCGGATTTATGCCTTGTATCAGGGTAGGTACCCATGGATAATTACTTGCTGATAATTTAAAGGAATTCAAAGTGACCTCCCAATCAATCAAGTCACTCTTGTTAGATACGATATTGTTACTACCTACAAAACTACTATTATTGATGCCTCTACACAACGTTTTGTCATCAAATATGTTTTGCACCTTTTGAGGCAAAGAATATTTCTCGTTGTTTGTCAAATTTTCAACCGAACGAAGTGCTTTATTACCATTTATATTAATCGTGTTTATTAAAGAGCTAAAGTCAGATTTTGTCTTTATTTTCGACTGAGTCAAATTATCTCGCATATCATCATCGGTATAGCCATCTTTATTTAAAGTCAAATTTTCTGCTAAGTTTGAAAACATTTTTCCAATTTCTCCTTTTTTTCTTCCCGAAGTAGTAAATCCATTGATTGCTTTGCTGGCATTTGTCCATTGAATCTCCTCACTGACATTCATCTTTAGTTGTCCATAAAGCTTTTCTTTATTAAATAAATAAAATTTAATTTTATCTTTAGATTTTAGATGAAACACTTTAAATAAAGAGATAGCAAATGTAGTCATTGTGTGAAGTATAATGAAATGGTTGCATGTATTGGTTTGTGTATGGTTATGGGTATGTATTTGGAATAGTTTGAGGGTGTAGTTTTGAGCGCGGGCGCTGCAAGGTGTACCTGTAGCGTTTGCTGTAGCTATGAATGTTTGTGTGTGGATGTAGTTGTAGTTGTATTTGTTGTTTGTATTTATAGGTACATGTGTAGGTGTGGTTGTAGGTGCAGGTGTGGTGGTTGGTGTTGGTAATTATAAATAATTAACTTAAATGCAAAAATAACATACCATTACCTGAACATATCGGAAGTAAACCAATTATTAATGTTGTAACGAATATCATAATTCTCATTTTCTTACGTTCTAAAGCCTGCAATGAGACAAGAATTATATATATATATATATATATATATATATATATATATATATATATATATATATATATATATATATATATATATATATATATATATATACTCAAGCTATAGCTCAATAATACAATACCTGATTAAAAATGCCCATTGAAATGTTTTAGTTAAGTTAAAATATTTGGTTTTGAAATTATAAGAAATTCTGAAAGTTACTTACAATATTATTGAAATATTTCATGCTTTTATAATATCTAGTTTACAACGAACTTAATTTTTTAAAGATATAGATCTTCCTTGATTTACAAAACCCTTTAAATGAAATTCAATTACCGCATATTAGCTTACATTATTATATTTCGTTTTATTGGCCTTAACTATTTGTCCATCAATCTTAAAATTTATCTACTTTGTATTACACACAAACACAACTACTCCAATTGATCTATTTTTATTCGATTTTCCGAACTATTTGTTTTCAAAAAGGCAAACATTTGGGTAACTTTTCTTAACAATATATTAATAGATTAGCTGGGTACTTGATAAGCCACTTTCTATCTGTCTTTTCATCCTCGAAATATTTTGTAATGACGTTTGTCTTAGTTCAAAAAAATTGTAATATGATATAAACTTTCAAATATTTAACGATATTTTATTTCAGGATCATTTTAACTAAATAATTAGTCTGATATATTTTTGTCTTGAGATAATTAGTCTGCGATATTTGTTCCTGTCATCTCTGCTTATTAATCATGTCGACACATAAAGATCAACGAAAAACGATATTTTTAAAATCGGGGTGGGGAAGGTTTGGCAGTCGCGGAGACGTCTGTGAGAGGCGGGGATTTGTGTGCAGGTGTAAAGAGTATTGAAGAAAATGGCCCTTGGTTATTTTTTTAGGTCGGTCGGTGGGGGGGGGGGTGGTATTTTTTATGTGTTTTTCCACAGGTTATCTTTATCCAGCGGTTCGTCAAGAGGAATACCTTTTTAAAGCTCTACTTTAAATAGTTAATTAAAACGTGGAATAGGTTTGTGCATAATATGTGTGTTAACTTACTTGATATACCTTTGCAGAAAGAGTATTTTTGGATGCAATCGAAGGTGTGGACAGATTGTGGCAAAATGATCCAATACATGACTGGAAGCTGTTGGCTAAATCATCTGTTTAAGATTAACATTTTACAACGTACAACATTTCGGGGTGGAGTCGACTTTAATTGTTTGTTCTTTTTATTTAGATCTACGTATAATCATGATTCGATATGAGGTTTGGGTTTCATTTAATTAGACGTTTTATTAAATTTAAGACAATGATGTTTGTAATCAAAACTTTTAAAAATAGATCAATGACGCCTTTCGTCCATTTTTTAAAGCTTCTGTCGCTAATTTTTAAAGTTTTGGATATTCAAAATAGTATAAGATTTCACATTCTAAGATCATACACCATATTATTATAAAAAGTATCGCTATGTTTTAATTAATACGTTATTCTGTATTTTTGATAAGGTTTTACGTGTGATAAGATCAACGAGTGTTTTTATAAATTAAAAAAAATTATAATTATAATTATAATTATTATAATTTATTATAATTTATAATAATTTATTATAATTTATTATAATTTATTATTATTATTATTATTATTATTATTATTATTATTATTATTATTATTATTATTATTATTATTATTATTATTATTATTATTATTATTATTATTATTATTATTATTCGGTTCTAGTTTTTAATATTTTTAGAGTTTTTTTGTTATTTATTGTTATTGATAATCAAGTATATTTTTCTAATAAGGCGATATTTTAAAAATAAATATTTAGAAGGCGAAAAAAGCAATAATAATTTAGTCACATAAATGTCTACAATCTTAATTGTAAGTGCCAACTGCGTCTATTGAATATTTGCGTAACGTCGAAATAGCTGTGGAGTATATTAAGGGTGGTAGGTTGTCATTCATTCTATTATATTCTCTTGTATAAGCAGATCTTTATTCTGTCATTAGATCAAGTATATGATCTTATTATCTAAACGGCTGCAGCAAAGAGCACGTATAGGCTAATTGTATAACTGTTGGTCGCCACTACTAGCATCACGATTTTAAAAAGTGACGTGTTATATAACCTGTTGTAACTGTTTCAAAATAAGAGAACTAGTTTAGCTCACCCGTTTAAAAGGCGAGGTAATTATGAATTGATTTCATGCAATATTTTGAGGCCGTTTTTTTTTTTAATTTCGATTTTTAAAAATGCTTGAATATTTAATTATTTCTCTTAAAAACCACGCTTATTTTATGTATGTGGTTTTCTTTTTGTTTTATCTTTTCAATTTTTATTCATGTTTACTTTCGTGGTTTTAATCATTTCAATAATTGTTTCATAATAATTTGTGTTTCGCTATTTTTTAAAAATCCCTATTCGTACGAAAATACCAACGTCACTTCCGACTCTTATTTTCTGTTCTTTCCTGTCTGTTAGTCGATGGCTTTGTTTGGTGCTGTACTTCTAATGTCGTGCTAGACGGCAGAAGATAGCATCATGTCTGTAGAAGAGAGAAGCTCGTCGCCTAAAGAGGCGGAAATAGCTTTGGTTGCAGCTGTTTCTTTGACTGATTTTGATGAGGTTTCTTTGAGAAAAGGAGAAGTTGAAACTCGTCCTTTTCTGTAAGTTTGTATACTGTATGTACTACTAGACTAGATCTAGATTTAGATCTATCTAACTTGGCTGCAGAGGCGTAGCGACCCTTCCCGACGCCCGGGGACGAACTTTCGATTTGCACCCCCTCTCAAACTTTTGATTTGTACGTCCCCCCTCAAACGATTTGCACCCCCCCCCCCTCAAACTTTCGATTACTTTTTCCAACCCGTTTTGGCGCCCCCAAGGTCGGCGCCCGTGGACATATGCCCCCCTCTCCCCCCCCCCCCCCCCCCCAATCGCTACGCCTCTTCTTGGCTGGGATGAACTGTTTGTGTCCAAGCGGCCCGGGATAAAGGAAAGTGTCCTGTACGACTTAAGTTTTTGTTTCTTTATAACTTGTGCATGCATCTTACTCTACTGGGCATGGGTGAGATGAGGGAAATGGTAACATGGAAGACGCGAACAATGGGCTGGTGTTAGACCAGTGTTCGTTTGACAGCAAATTTATTTTTTAAATCAAGCCACAAATATGCCTATTGTAACACTACTCCGGACGGTCCACCGGTAAATTTTCCTATTTCCCGGAAAGATTCCTCTTTAGACCTAGCAATCCAGTGGGCAGATGAAGTAGAGTTCATTTGTTTCTTAACCTCGGCCTATGAAGAGATGATGTGGTCAGCACTATGCCCAGCCACTTACTTTCCCCAATATAAGTCAGTTACCCATCAGAACTGTGTAGACTTATGGACGTCCTACAATCACATTTCCGAACAAAGATCCGAACTCAAGAGCTAAGTATTATTGAATTACTAGACTGTTAGGTTGTCATCGTAACGCCTCGCCCTTAGTTGAATCAGCTGTTTGGATGGAGGGGAACTGATACATGGGTAACCTCTGGCTCTCCCCAACTTACTGTCCAGGCTTTACGTCTTATTATCAAAGGCGAAATAATCCAGCCGTCTATCATACTGTGGACCATTTTATTTATTTAGGTATATGGGTTATGTTCAGAGGCGTAGCGAGGGGGGGGGTGCGGACCGCACCGGGTGACACCATTTAGGGGGGGTGACACCAAGGCAAAATAAGAGTTAAAATATATAGAGAAATCGAGGGGGGGGGGGGGGTTGCAAATCGAAAGATTGAGGGGGGGGGGTGCAAATCGAAAATTGAAAGTTTGTCCCCGGGAAGAGTCGCTACGCCTCTGGGGGGGGGGGTGACACCATTAAATGCCCACCGGGTGACACCCGACCTCGCTACGCCACTGGTTATGTTTTAAATCTATGGAACGTATTTTATTACCACAAGAAAACTGTTCCTTTTTACCCCATCAGACTGGAGGCACCTCAAGCCCTGCATATTGTCATATTATTGGAAGAATTTGTTGACAAGTTAGAAGTCCTGACGTCGGCATATAAATCAAGGTACATCGATGTTCGAGCCAAGCAATCAATCATATTTGAGCACGCGAGAAATCGGCGGTTTTTTAAAACAGGACGTATAGGTCAAATGGTGAGATGAAGACGTGTATTTTATCTATTAGTGTTACTTAAATATGTCCAGGGTTGTTCGGCGCATTTGTGAATATTGTTTGGTGTTTCAGATATCCAACGAGAACAAGAACTACTTGGTGAAACAACACTACGGCTCAAGTATTCCAAGAAAACTTGTATACGCTTTTAGAAAACAACCCTACACGGAGATTGACTTAGAGACATTTGTAAGTACCCTCTGTGTATAAGTCTAATTACCAACCGCGAACATTTATCGCAATTTATGCGATTACGCCACACTTTTCTTTCGGCACTTTCATTGAAACCTTCACGATCCAGTGCTAGATTTACACTTTACAAGATTTCTAGCCCCACTTATTTCTGCGCGTATTTTCTTATGTTAGTAATTTTATATAGTGAGTTTTTGTCTTTATTTCGATCGATTTTTAACCACTTTTTTAATATATATTTAATACACATCCGAAAAGTAGTAACCTCAAATATTGGGCGACTCCTGTCATGAATTCTGTGTAGACAAATATATCTCTGTATACTTGAGTAGTATAACAATATGGCTACATTTACATGGAACAAGAGCATATGGGCTTTGTGCTTATACGCCGTATAGAATCCTGTCCATATTATATGACGCACATGTAACCCATACCCGTACAATTTAACAATAAAAACTATCTAGGAACCTCTCCACCTTCCTCCGCCCATATTCCTAGCCACTCCACATATTAGTACCTAAAAGCTGATATTTACTTTGTTAGGCTAAGAGCAAATCGGTTCTATAGAAATTAGCCTATTCGTGTTAGTCAGGGGTGAAAGCTATCAATTTGACTATTCTTATAGTATAGAAACATTGCAAAGTAGGAATTAAGAATATCACTTTCTACCTTATAAAATAGCATAGTATAACAGACTGATAAACAGACGCCTATCTTTATGTGCTACAGAGGCGTAGCGACCCTTCCCGGGGACAATCTTTCGATTTGCACCCCCCTCGAACTTTTGATTTGCACCCCCCCTCAAACTTTCGATTTGTTTTTCCATCCCATTTTGGCGCCCCCCCCCCTAAGGTCGGCGCCCGGGGACATATGCCCCCCCCCCCCCCTGATGTGCTATATACTTACGTTCTCGATCTCTAAAGGTCTCATGTGGCTAAAAGAAATGGTGTCGGCGTTTGTATCATGTTAGAAAGTTGATGGCTAAACACGGCGAGGTTTAGTTTGTGTTTAAATAACCAAAATTTAACGGCGTCTTTTCGGTGTACATTATCAGCAAAGATAAAGACGGAGAAAGATGTATCCAGCATGTTTTTTTGGTTTTTTTATATTTATAGGCGAAAGAAAAGGGACAGAAATTCGACTCAGAAGATAGCAAACTTCAGTACGATCGAGCGTTTTTTGAGCTGATTATTACGAAAACAATGAACAACTTACTAAGGGTATACTTATTAGACATTATTTTGTTACATTTGTTCAGTTGTTCTATGGCGATTTATTCATAACGATTGTATAATACAAATGATAAAATAAACTAGTTGAGCATCAATCAGCTCTGTCAACTCTAGATTTAATGAGTGACTTGTTGCTTACAACTGTCATCTGTTGACATTCTAAAACTAGTAGGCAAAACGTTAGATCGTTTGTTTGATACGAAATTTCTCAATGTTACTTGTGTTGGAAACTTACTTTGTCAGCATGTATAGTAGATCTAAAGAAATGTTCGTTTCGGTTAACTTAAGTATCCGTGGAAGATCCATATCGGATACAATTTGCATTGGTTAACTGAGGCACCGCCGTATTCAATTAATTAAAGACATTTGAATTGTCTAAAATAAAACTTCATGGTGGCATTTCGAAAATAGTTTTTAAAATACCTATAAATGTGTTCGAATCCCAGATTCGATTCTGACTCACTGGGCTTTGACGGGTAAAGGCGATGATTAAATTTAGGGGGATTTTGAAATGATATACTGTATGTAGAATCAGTGGCGTAGCGAGGTCGGGTGTCACCCGGTGCGGCACTTAATGGTGTCACCCCCCCCCCAGAGGCGTAGCTACTCTTCCCGGGGACAAACTTTCTATTTTCGACTTGTACCCCTCCCCCTCGATCTTTCGATTTGCACCCCCCCCCCGTCCCTCAAACTTTCAATTTGCACCCCCCCCCCCTCAAATTTTTCTCTATATATTTTACTATTTTTTGCCTTGGTGTCACCCCCCTAAATGGTGTCACCCGGTGCGATCCGCACCCCCCGACCCCCCCCCCCCTCGCTACGCTTCTGTGTGGGATTACGTTATTGCTCTTAAAAATTGTATTTAAACATTCGTTTTGAATTACAGAATAACTCCTACGAGTACTTGGCCCAGGTTGTTAACGATGAAAAGGATAAAAAAATCCATATGCTAACAATGTTTAAGAAGATCATAGACGACACGGCACGGATCAAATTCCTGAAGGTACAATACAAGACAGTACTGCTGTAGCAGAACATAACTTACTTATAACGCCAATTTGATTGTCTCAATTTTGAAACTTAGTTGTTTTTTTTTTTTACTTTCTTGCAGAGCATAGAGGAAATAATGTAATCGTGAACAAAAAGTATAGGATGGGTTTTTGTTTTCAGTTTTCGCCGTTTTAAATCTATTTACATTACACGGAATATAAGGAATGTATTGTAATAGTGCGAAAAATCCAAATCGAGATTTTGACAAATTTTGACGATTTATATTCTTTCGGAGCTGTGAAACTTGGCTTTGCAATTTCGTCCGTGTCTGTCTGCCATTCTTGATTATCAGTTAGGTTGTCGAAATTACATGTGAAAAAATGTACATTTGTAAGTAAAAACCTGCATTTTTACATCAGAAGTGGCCTACAATAAATACCCCCTTTTGTTTTCCAGCAAGAAAAAAACCAATTAAAGAAAGAAAAACTCAAAGAAATCGACGCATTGGATGCCCAGATTGTTCAAGTTAAAAACTCTATCCTAGAATTGCAGTTTAGAAAACCCCTTGAGGCTGAATATGTCAAAAACTTTGGTTCGTATATCCAAGACAAATATTGACGATTATGTTTAGTAAAGAGATACATACTTTTACACAAACATACACAACGAATATATATATATATATATATATATATATATATATATATATATATATATATATATATATATATATATATATATATATATATATATATATATATATATATAATATATATATATATATATATATATATATATATATATATATATATATATATATATATATATATATATATATATGATCTATATATATTGAGTTTTATCTGTTATTATTAAAAGGCCGTGTGATGGTCGAACGAGTGAGGAAAATGTGCAGTATAAACGAGGGCCAAATGGCCGAGAAACTGAAGGCTGTCAAGGGGGCGATGTTTAACGAGATCTCGTGCCACGACAGCATGATGAAGATTATCAAGCGTCAGCATCACAAGTTAAAGGTGCGCCACGACGTCACTTAGCCGGGTGTTACACGTTGCTTGTCTCCTTGGTGAATGGCAACCTGCCATGGGTCAGAGGCGTAACGACCCCTACCGGCGCCCTGGGATAAACTTTCAATTTTGCTACATTCCCCCCCCCCCCCCCCCATATATATTTTTATATTTATAATTCAAAACTGCAGCTAAACTGAGCTTTTAATTTTTTTCCAACTTATTTTGGAGCCCCTTGGGTCGGCGCCCGGGGACAATTGTACCCCCCCCCCCCCCACGTCACTACGCCTCTGCTATGGGTAGTGGTGTATATAACAGTTTATAACAGTTTTTAATATAAAATTAGCCAATTTTCTTTCGTTGTAACATTTCAGCCGTATTCCTCCCGTAGGATGTTGACAATCATCATCATCTTTTCCCGATCTTGTCCAAGACACATGGGGCAGATGAAGTAGAGTTTATCTGTCTCAAATACTACTTTATATCTTGGAGGATGCGCATTTCAATATGGCAAACCAGCAATTTCCTAATTATCCCCGTAGATGCCACTTTAGCAGACGTAGTTTTTAAAATATCAAACATTTTTTTTCTCTTCTAAAACAGCGTGTAATAATATCCTAAATGTAATGTCAGTGTTTTGGGTCGGATTGTCAGCTGTAATTGCAAGGGCACACCCAACGGCAGTTTAAACTTGGCCTCTGAGCTAAAGGAGTAGGCGCAAGGCCCGTGTATAATACACTGACCATGCAAAAGAAAAGCTTCCCCCCCCCAGAACGAAATGGAAATTTATATAGAAAATATATTCTTTTACCAGTGTTCGCCCCCCCCCCCCCCCGACCCCGGAAAATTTAGTTTGCTCCTCCAAAAATATCAAGTGCCCCCCCCCCCCCCCCAGGAGAAAAAAGTCTGAAGAAACACTGCATAAAATTGGACCGGAGTAGTAATTAATCCAAAGATTTGAATAATCCAATACTGTAACATTAACAACGAACTGCTCCGACAGAAAGTTCTCAGCTTCTGGGTGGAGAAATTCGAAAAAGACAATTCAAGACTGCAGGCAGAACTGGACGAGCTCAAGACCGAGAGAGCCAAAGCGCTGGCGAGAATAGCTTTCCTCAGAGAAAAGATTGTAGACTATCAGGAGATTGTTGACGACGACAGGTGAGTTGACCTACCTGTGGGGCATCAGATAGGTGAGTTGACCTACCTGTGAGGCATCAGACAGGTGAGTTGACCTAGCTGTGGGGCATCAGATAGGTGAGTTGACCTACCTGTGAGGCATCAGATAGGTGAGTTGACCTACATGTGAGGCATCAGATAGGTGAGTTGACCTACCTGTGAGGCATCAGACAGGTGAGTTGACCTACCTGTGAGGCATCAGATAGGTGAGTTGATCTACCTGTGAGGCATCAGATAGGTGAGTTGACCTACCTGTGAGGCATCAGGTGAGTTGACCTACCTGTGAGGCATCAGGTGAGTTGACCTACCTGTGGGGCATCAGATAGGTGAGTTGACCTACCTGTGAGGCATCAGATAGGTGAGTCGACCTACCTGTGAGGCATCAGGTGAGTTGACCAACCTGTGAGGCATCAGATACTTCTCTTTTGCTCAGATTTTGTGTCTTAGTGTGAACATTCCTAAGCGCTTTAGCTGAGTGATCGTGTGTGAAGGTAAATAGTTCTTTGACAAGCAAGAGCTAACGTGACAAGATGTCAATGACAAGATGTCGGTGACAAGTTCCTAAGATATTGAAACAATCTTAGTCAATGACAAGTTCTGTGATAGTGACACAATCTTAGTCAATGACAAGTTCTAAGATAGCGATACAATCTCAGTCAATGACACTTTCTAAGATAGTGACACAATCTTTGCCAATGACTATTTTTAAGATAGTGACACAATCTTAATCAATGGCAAGTTCTAAGATATTGAAACAATCTTAGTCAATGACAAGTTCTGTGATAGTGACACAATCTTAATCAATGACAAGTTCTAAAATAGTGACACAATCTTAGTCAATGACACTTTCTAAGATAGTGACACAATCTTTGCCAATGACTATTTTTAAGATAGTGACACAATCTTAATCAATGGCAAGTTCTAAGATATTGAAACAATCTTAGCCAATGACAAGCTCTGAGATAGTGACGCAATCTTAATCAATGACAAGCTCTGAGATAGTGACAAGATCCAGGTCAACATTTGAGCTAGTGACAACATAGACGTCAGAGACAGCATCTTGGCCTAATGACATGATCCAAGCCAAATACAAGAACTAAAGCATCCATTTTTTTTTTACCACGACAAGACCCAAGACCTACACAAGACGTTATCCAACTTATATATTTTAAAGCTTTCATTTATCCTATTCAGACGTATCAAGAAAAAAGCTGACGACTTACAAGAGAGGAAGATCTTTGAGGGCAAGCGCGCCACAAGAATACAAGCCTGGTGGCGCGGCACTATGTGCCGAAACAACCTAGGGCCTTACAGGAACCTTTTCAAAGACCTGGTATCCAAACATATCAATAAGAAAAAATAGACTGGAGCTCAGGGTCAAACAATTCAATCATCCTGGTCTCAAAATATTTTTTTGCTATTTAAAATTTTTTTTTTAAAAAAGTATACATTATTTTTATATGACGTTTACGAAATATCTACTTACTCTACTAATTTATTAATTATTTTTTTTTACTTTTTATGACTTTTACAATGACTTTACACTGACAGTTACTACAGATTTTTATATGTGTATACAAACTGTTTTTACATAGTAAATAAATTATACAATTTTAAAAAAAAATTGTTATTTCTAATGTGATTGATGTAAATGTGTAGTCTTTAAAGCAGCAAGTGTTCGTCCCTTCCCTGGAAGATACAAGGCAAAAGCCCCCTATAACCAAGTTGTTCTCGAGAGTTCGTGAACATACAATGGGCTATGTGCCCACCCACAGTAATGTAACACCTCACTACTGTTTTGGTGCTCACTATACGCAGATACTGCAAACAGTACAAGTCTTTGTCAAAAAAAAAAGGAGGGGGCGGGGTCTGTTTTTTTACTCAGATAAGCCTACTTACCCTCCCTGTAATTCAGAACGCTTGATTATACAAGAATGGTGTAAAAAAAAACCTCCCCCACCCCAGTTAAAACTTAAATGCTTTTTAAAAATAACACCTATTACTCTTAATGATCGCTAGTAGAAATGATACGTGCGTACAATTATTAGAAGCTTTATTATGTACTGGATAAATTTGCCTAATCATTTATCTTTTAGAGACGCTAATTGATCTCATTAGTAGCCTTTTTTTAATGTAGGCCTACTAACTTTAGTGAGCAGTGTTTTTCTGTGCATTAATATCAGTGAGCGGCAATCCCTATCACTCCAACAAATAAAAACACATTTCCGCAAAAGAATAATTTAATGATATGCAAATTTGGTATGAAATGACAAACATTCTTTCCCGTTGACTGCAACATTTACCACCATTCAATTTCATTTTTACTTCAATTTTTTTTTAAAAACAATAACCTCACAAGATAAACAGTCTCACAACGATTTGCTTTGAACATCTCTTATGTACAGATAATATTCTAGTTAGCAAATAAAATATTCCAGAAATATTTATCACACCAAAGTCGGATATTATCTACTGGTTGGGTTCGCCACAAAGCCATTACATAATGCAGCACACAAGGGAGGCAACAACACAAATAGGGGAAAAACAGAATTACCTGACTTGCTGGGATAAAAGTTTCTTATTGAACATTTATCAACATGTAAGTAGAGGACAAACAGTTGGAAATTGATGATGTGCAGACTTTGGTTAAGATTTAAACCAATAAACAAATGCAAAAACAATTATTTGTTCCAAAGCTAGCAAAGTTCATTTCAAATGAAAGACGGTTACTTATCAGAAGTGGTTATAATACAATATTACTAGGAAAAAAAATACCTGGTTCTAAATATCCACCATCAATGCTGTCTCAGCTTTCATTTTAATTCACTAGAGAGTTGTCACAAAACAAATTTTGAATTCCCAATCAAAAAGATGAATAATGAACAAAGTGAAGTTACAAGTAATGACTATGAGACAAAAATCATACTTAGGAAACAAAAATTATGCTGAATTGACATCAAGCCAATAGATGCAACATGAAGTGAGAAAACAAGCACAGTATACATTTATACAGTCAAGTGAAGCATTTGCATAAACACATCTGACGTTAAAGGATTTCATTTTAAGGAAGTGACACTTGTAGCCCTATGTTTACATAGAGTAGCAGTAATTACAAAGAATATTTCCACACCAAATTAAAGCATTTTTGTTGTCAACAACAAATTAAGTTTCTAATTAAAAAAAACTTGATAATACTCAATCAGCATTCAAATTTTTACTTAACTGCAAATTTTATTTTTGTAGAAAATTGTTTTTTTTTTAAATTTATAACCTTTTCCATTAGATATTTAGAATTCAAGACCATGCATGAAAGGCAGATTAGACTAAACATGAGTAAAATGGAATGTTGGGAAATATACACGCTAAACTTAGACAATCACAGAAATACATTTGGGTGGAGGCTAGTAAAGAAGCAAGAAAAAACACTAACAAAATTTTTGTATGGGCTGGGTTGGTTTCATGTTGACAATTTCTTTTCATGGTCAAGATTGAGGTTATCAACTTGTTCATGGCTGTGTTCATGTGAAGGAGTTAGTTGTTTGAAAATTGATTTGTATTAAACATGTAGAGTTATCACAGAGGGTGTGTTAACAAGAGCATATATACAACAAGTAGTAAACTACACACCCGGCCTTGATTGGATGCACTTGTACAATATCTAGGTCATGATACAACACTTTTTGCTGTCTAGCTAAATGTAAGGGAAAAAATGTATACACAAAAATGATGATTTTTATGAACTATTTAGGTTGAAGAAAGTTTTTAACAGCAGTTTAAGCAGTGTTTAACTTTAAAGCAAACAAAAAAAACTAAATGGTTTATAGTTCAATTTTAAATATTTTTTTTTACTCTTTTTCCTTTTAATCAACAATATAACTTTTTATAATTCGAGATATTCTAGGGCTAACCCTCTTTTACATCTCATGGTATTAATTATATTTTAGTACACTTTAGGTAGGTCTAGTTAAAAGAACTGATAAAAAAATATTTTTGGTGAAATTGTGGTTATTAAATACCTAGATTGTGGTACATTCGTTTTTCAGGCAAGAAAAACAAGCATTCAAGCAGTAACATTCAACATTACATATTTAATGACACGAAAATAACTTTCTATTTTTAAAAAAAATCTGATAAATATCAAGCAAATCATACAACTGTACAACACTAACCCCTAGAATAGCTTCAGAAACTAAAAATATCAAGAGGCAGAAGGAGTAATAATTCTTTAGTTTGATGCATAGTGACAAAAGAAAGAAATAAGATAAACCCACATAATTCTAATAAGATTTAAAAGCAAATTGACATAAAAATTCTTACCAGCAGTACAAAGTGAACAAAGCCCACAAATGATGACATACATAAGTAATCTCTACCAGACCATTCGCTAGTTTTAAACTTCAGGTTATCAGTTAAACAGCTTATTAATGTAAGAAAATACTAATATTGACTTCAGGCTTTTTGAAAAACTCTTAAAACTAAAAGTAACTGCCTTGGTGAAGTGTGTTCGTTTTAGTAATTATTTTACCATGCATTAAACTATTATAAAACTTGTTTTTTTTTACAATGATAGTCTTCAAAATATGAAACTTCTATTCAACTGTAACTAGCATACAAGTTCATTTTTAGATGTTAAACAAAATTTATAGTGGATTTCAAATTTAACAATTTCAATGTACACAAACTAGTGAAATAGGCCAATTTAAAAAGTAAGCCTGCAGGATCAGCTGACTGAGGTTCATTGCCATCTAATATTTCAACATTTGTGGTAAAAAGAAAAAGTTTCAAATCCAGAGCAATCCACAGAGTTGCATCAACACACATACTACAAGCCATAGTCTTCTCAGCTTTTATGTAGTGGGGGTCGTGGTCCCCTTTGTGTAAGGCCCTCAAATCTTTTGAACGTGTAGTTGATAAAAACCCAATCTTTGTATTTAGGATCCTTGAACTCTTCTTCATTTTGTTGGGAAGCAGCTGAAAATTGGGAGAGTAAAACATTTTGAACTAGTGCATGAAATTTTAAAGTTTGTTTAATAATCTTAAGTTCTGTTTCCGATTTTAGTCTATTAACTTCATTAACCCCAAGTAATCCTTATGATTTATTGATTTCTACGAAAAATTAAAAAAAAAAACCTTTTATTTTTATTACACAACATTTTAAAGCTATTTGTATTGCAGATGTGCTGATCCATGGCATTAGCACTGTGAGTTTATGAAATGTATATAGATACGGCAAAGGGTGTAGTAAGAGCAAATTCTAAACTATAATGAAAATATTTAGATATCTTTAGAAAGAATAACAGAAATGAAACATCTTTAATGGGCATAACAAGTATGTTATAAAATTCTAAATTTCATAAGCTTTGCACACTAGAACAAAAGATGATCAAGTAATACATCAGCTATGATTTAAACAAAACTATGAGAAAGATAAGTTAACTTTTCTCAAAGTATGTGTTACAGCAAACTTCAGATTAGCATTGGATACCTTGAATAGAATACTTTGGATAATGTGTAAATAGTAAAGGCTTTTTAATTGCTTTATTATCACAACAGTAATGTTCAAAATCTTATGAAACTGAAGAAAGCCATGCAATAATAGTTTTTACATGTGACTCAGTAGTTTCAGCGCATAATATATCTCTAGAGTCATTAACACTAACTGTAGCAAAATGTCCAAAATCAATAATAACTTACGAAGCTTCAGGTCAATTTCAGGGAAATCATCAAAGTTTGATGTATCATCAATACCTTTGACATCAACTGGTATGAGTGCTGGTCGTTCCCTAAAAAAAATAAGAATTTTTTTTACTAAGTTTTGTCAGAAACATGATAAAATATTTTTGTTATGAAGTGAATAAAAATAGATGTTCAAACAAACCTAATGTGTTCCCAGTCAACACCTCTGAAGAATGGATGTGAGGTTATCTCTTCAACACTGTTTGCACCAATTCTGTGGTCCGGATCACAGCAGAATCTGTAAAGTTATCAACTCTCATTTACAAGTGATCAATAAAACTAAGTAAAGTAATGTTCAAAAGGGCACAATATAGCATTACACCTACGGCATGATAATTTATAACTAAACTAATCAGTTAAAAGTGGGACAGGGTGGTCTAGCGGTAGAGAGCTGGACTGCTAACCCGTATGGATCGAGTTCAAATCCAGGTTCAAGTCAGTAGACCGTCCATGAGTCCACCCAACTCTGATGGGTACCTAACTCACGTTAGGGAAAGTAAAGGCGGCTGGGCATAGTGCAGATCACACTATATGCCAGGGTCACAGAGACAAGTGAACTCTACTTCACTTGCCCCATAGACCGTCAGGTTTGAAAGGTGTCACAGCCCTTTTGTATGACTCGGTTCATGGCACAAACTAAAGGCAAATGCAAACCACATTATTGGTGATTTTACAGTCTTTTATTGATATCAGATAATATAGCAGCTACACTACTAGAACCACGACTTCAGTTTCGTCATCTCCTCGCGCTCTCTCTACCTCTCTCTGCTTCCTTTCCTTAGCGCACACCCATCCTATATTTTTATATTCATATTGCCTTTTTAAGATACATAGTCGAAACATACATTCATCTACATTTAACTGTTACAAAAGGGAAACTTTACTTTTACTTTTTAATCAGTTAAAAACAACCTAAAATGATAAAGTTTTAATGCAACCCTCTTGTAGAAATACGAAGGCCAGAGACACAAACTATAAATTAGTCAGCATTTGATAAAATGTTAACCTTTTGATGAGATCTCTGGCTTCATTAGAGATTGGCATTTCTGGAGGGAAGATAAGAGTTTCTCTCCAGTTCATCACCTTTCTGTATGTTTCCTGAGGGTTTTCTGAGCAGAATGGGGGATAACCTGCCAAAAAACAAGACCATTAAATAGCTGAGCTAAACAAATTACAACTCAAATATTTTAAAAGAATAATATAGAAAGATGAATAAGCTGCATACAACCCGCTTTAAAGGAAAAAGAACAGAATACCAAATAAAACTGTCTGGTATATTTCACATAATTTGGTCTCCACAAAATTTAGGAAACTCCAAATCATTTTTACCAATTTTATTTCTCATTATAAACTTTTCTGAAACTGTGAATTTACTACAAATAAAACTGTGATTTAGCATTTCTGGGTGATAAATGGACCAAACTCACCAATCAACATCTCATACATGATGACACCAAGTGACCACCAATCACAAGAGCTGGAATAACCATTCTGCATAAAAACTTCTGGTGCTATGTAATCTGGTGTTCCAACTGTTGAATAGGCCTGTACAGATACAATTAAAACAGTTATCAATTAAAATTATGCTGTAGGTGGCATTTTAGTTTGTTATGTCCATGTATCTTTGTTAGTACTGTAACTATATACATGTTTACTAAAAAGCTTTTTGGATCTTACAAGTATCAGAGCATGCACCCTGACATAAATGGTGGTGGGAAATATTTAAGCTGAGGATTTTTACTATCAATAGAATAAAGAATGAAATCAACATACTAATGCCCTCCTATTTCTTTTCCAGCTTTCTGCTTTCCTTTTAGAGTCCATTGGATTTCCATCTGAGAAATAAAAATAAAATAATACAATTATAGAATCAAACAACATTTTGCACTTTTTTGTTTGTTTTTTTATCTCCCTTGTATTTCTCCCTGAGAAGTAATTCTGTTGTATCCTAATGCTCCTTTGCATGTGAAGTGCTGTGGTCATTTGGGCAATTTTCACTCATCAGGAATTCAGGTACCAAGGTACTAAGTGTAAAAATAAGCCTAGCGATTCATTTAATCTTTAAAAATCTTTTTCAAATGAAAAGAACTTGTACCTGACCAAGGGTATTATACATTTATTTTTTAAAAAGGAAAAAAAGTTTTAAAATTTTATTTTCAACGGTTAAATGCGGCATTATAAGTCAAAAGGCCACATCGAATTCAGTGACCTTTTTTTCATACTGTGCTTACCACAGAGGAATGATTTGTGTACAAGTAAATACCATGATTAATTACATGCTGAGCTGTTTTATTTTAATTAAATCAGAGCAATAGTTCAAATGTATAAATTAATTAAGAAGTCCAAGCTACATTCTTTGCGTTTGCAGAATAGCTATTTTGACATTCAATTAGAAGATGTAAACATCCACAACCCCCCGCCCAAAGTCCAGTTGTTTTTGGACCCCCTTCAGCATGGACACAATAAATGGATGATCCCTCATATTGTTACCTTTATAATGATACATTTATTCTTAACTTTTTAAAAATAGATTTTTAAAATAGGACAGGTCTGGAATATAAATATCCATGTATTATGTGTAATAAAAACCTGTAAATAATTCAGATTTTTTTTCTTGGCCAAAATACAATGTGCTGTGTACTTCAAGTTAGGCAACATCTGTGGACTGGCTACAAACTTCAGAGCTGTGTGTGACTCACCAGGCTATAAATAAACTGATCTTGTTTACAAGGTGTACTTACTGCAAAAATCTTTCCCTAAGTTAGAACTTTTAGAATGCGATGTTAAATCCTTGTAGAAGTCTGTTCTGTGGGATTTTTTCATGCCTGTACATAAACCAAAATCTGACAACTTGATATGACCCTGTCATAGAAGAAACAAAACATTGCAGGACATAAGTTTGATTAACTGGGTCACATTTAGTCTGATCTTGAACCTAAAGTTTTGAGATTGTGTTATTATAATAAAAATTGGACAAACGTCAAGTTTTCTGATACAATAATGGTTGAATAAAATACAGTTAAAAATAATTATAATTCAATAATGTTTCTCATATTTAATTGATAAAAAGTGTTACCCTATTGTCTAACAAAAGATTATCTGGCTTGATGTCTCTGTGTATAAAGCCCAACTTGTGTATAGAATCTATGGCCAGCACTGTTTCAGCTACATAAAACTGGGTTTGTTCCTCTGTTAGTGTATCTTTTTTCATTAGTAGTGTCATCATGTCCCCTGAAACAATGGATTGCGACATTAGTTCAAGCAGTCATTACAGGCAGTTGAATATTTTAGCAGTCATTACAGGCAGTTGAATATTTTAGCAGTCATTACAAGCAGCTGCAAGTAGCAATTTTTATAGGTTTTTCTGTCATCTACAGGTCTATATAGTATTGTGTGTAAGAGGGTGGGCAATATTTACAAACTTATTTTTCTCTAGTAATAAAATGCTTTTTTGTTTTTAGAAAATAAATGACAGGAACATGGACACCTACCAGCAGCACACTAATTATATCACCAGTGAACTTAAGAATTCAGCAGAGTTAAGACAAGTCATTACAGTAATTACTAATGAAAATTACAGTCACCAATCTACATAAAGAACTGGTCCACAGGGAAGAAATCCCAGACAATTTGATTGATGATTATTGCCACTAATACTAGAGCATGGCCAGAGGGGAGATTTGGAGATAGAGCATTCATGTCAACTTGGTGACCAGCCAAATGACCAGTAATTACCACTAATAGCCCCTTCTTATCAAACACAGTCTGGTGGGATAAGGTTGGTAGCAGAGAATGTAAATCATTGGGATCCTGTCTGATCTCCTAACAACAGAGTACTACAAAACATACCCATTTGTATTTGACAGAGCAATGTATTTTGGACGGTGCCTGTTCATGAACTGATGTACAGGTGTCTGTTCATTAACTGATGTACAAAGTGTACCTGTGCTAAACATTAGTTGTTCAGTTTTTCTAAGTTGGCACATAAACAGTAAACCATTTTGCAGTGAAACTAAAATCAATGCTTGGTTAAAATACCAAACTGTGTAAACAGTAACAGAGCACATCAGTTACACATCTACAGACACATGCTGGCTTGGTTAGGGAGCAGGGGAGAGAAGGGGAGGAGACAACATTATACAAGCTTAATAAAAGAGGCGACAGCTTGCTGTTTTCTGAAAAACAATGTAGAGGTGGATATGCTGGTTTTAAAATGGGCAATACTGCTCAATGTTTCTTTACATTTAACTACATTGTGTACAGCTATTTAGCACACAGCTTACAATAATATTTATAAAAAAAAAACCACACGTGTATAAGGGCAGCACTAATGACAAGCAATCAGGTGACTAACTCTGATCCTCTCCCACCAGTTACAGTGGAGCTCACCTCTGCCCTGCTATGTCCAGTGGGTCAGCATTATTTGCCTCTCAAGTTAAAGCTATTTAACCTAATTAAATTCACCAGTTTAACTTGTACCAATGGGATTTCACATGTTTTAACGTGATTTCACGTGTTTTACCGTGGTTTCACGTGTTTTAACGTGGTTTCACATGTTTTAACGTGGTTTCACGTGTTTTAACGTGGTTTCACATGTTTTAACGTGGTTTCACGTGTATCAATGTGATTTCACATGTTTTAACGTGATTTCACATGTATCAATTTGATTTCTCGTGTATCAATGAGATTTCACTTATTTTAACGCGATTTCACGTGCATCAACGTGATTTCGCGTGTATCAACGTGATTTCACATGTTTTAACGTGATTTCACATGTTTTAACGTGATTTCACATGTATCAATGTGATTTCAAGAGTATTAATGTGATTTAACCATCCTCTGTGATTTGTCGCAGCAGTTTTCACACCCACGTAGTGTAATTTTTTTTATATAAATACCGCCCGTACGCAGCAGACCCGAGGTCCTTACACTTGTATGACACAGTGGTTTCACCAAGCAAGTAATAAATCTAAACCTACATTCAACATTTTGGCTAATGCAAATTTTTTTTCAATTTTCCTTAGGGTTTAGATCTAAACGTTTCTAATAAATGAAAACTATCCAATGGAATACGTGTCAGCTGTGTTACGTCATGGCCATGGGCTACAAGGACGGCTGATAACCCTGAGGGGCAACCGTCTATTATTTCAAGGGGAAGCAAACCTGTCTTGTTGTTCAACATTCAGGCTAGCTAGGATACCACACGTGTGTTAATCTAGTAATGACTCAAATGCGCTCTACTCAAAATTTATTGCGTATATTCTTATAGACAGAGAAGTCCGCCAAGTAAATGTCAGTGTACACACCATTACAGAAAGTATGCTGCGTATTGATTCAAATTCATGGGGGGGGGGGGGGGGAGGCGGACTGTTGAATATCATAACTAAACATGACAATCGGTAGTTTAACTGGGGGAAGGGGAGGGAGCGGGTAGAAAATATAATCAAAGTGACATCTACCTTTGACGGCAAGCATCCAATATTGATTTGAGGCAACAAATCGTGATGGTAAAAAATCGATACACATTTGCTGTGTGTAACAGTATTGGTATAAGAGCTTTGTACAAAGCTGCTATGACGATGGTTACAGTTTTTAAGACATACAAAATTTCACCAGCAGACTAGTTTCATTGCTCGGTGTGTGTGTTTAGCTCATGCCCTAACAATAGCAGACTGAGTAGAATAAGTCTGAACAACTAGCCCAGTGCTAGTGTTATTTTTTTCTATTGCTCATCTCAAGTACCCAAAGACTAATAACACAAATAACACTATACATTTTTTCACACTAAACAAACCCAACGTTTTTTAGAAGGCATCAAAGTGGTGTGAACAAAGTACAAATCAATCTAATTGATTTTTAAGGTTCCTAGCATAACTAGCAGCTGCTTGCTATCAAAGGCCACTTACTTGACTGGCATATGCTTAATATCAAAGGCAACTTGGATAGCATAACCAATATACATTTTTATCTAATAAGAAACTCAACTTTCTTTCATCCACCAACCCCAACTTCAACAGAGTTTGGAAACCCAATATTAAATGCGTATTTCTTCAACAGTTGATTGGTAGGAGAGATTAAAGTTTTCACTATCCAGCTGTGTATCAAACACATCCATCCGTTTCAACAGTACTTACCTCCCGGCAAAAACTCCATAATAAGGTACAGACTGCCTGTGTCTTGAAAAGAGTAATACATCTTGACCACCCACTGATGATCCGCCTCTGCTAAAATATCACGTTCAGCTCTGACGTGGGCTATCTGTTGGTACATACGGGAGAAATAGCAGTAGTCTGTGTAGTTAGTAAAAGCTTCAAGTTCACAACACCCTTCCTCATTTAAATAGTAATCATTATCTTGTATGTATCAAATGGACGTGTGTGTATCAAATGGACGTGTATGTATCAAATGGACGTGCATGTATCAAATGGGCGTGCATGTATCAAATGGACGTGCATGTATCAAATGGACGTGTATGTATCAAATGGACGTGTATGTATCAAATGGACGTGTATGTATCAAATGGACGTGTATGTATCAAATGGACGTGTATGTATCATATGGACGTGTATGTATCAAATGGACGTGTATGTATCAAATGGACGTGTATGTATCAAATGGGCGTGTATGTATCAAATGGACGTGTATGTATCAAATGGACGTGTATGTATCAAATGGACGTGTATGTATCAAATGGACGTGTATGTATCAAATGGGCGTGTATGTATCAAATGGACGTGTATGTATCAAATGGACGTGTATGTATCAAATGGACGTGTATGTATCAAATGGACGTGTATGTATCAAATGGGCGTGTATGTATCAAATGGACGTGTATGTATCAAATGGACGTGTATGTATCAAATGGACGTGTATGTATCAAATGGACGTGTATGTATCAAATGGACGTGTATGTATCAAATGGGCGTGTATGTATCAAATGGACGTGTATGTATCAAATGGACGTGTATGTATCAAATGGACGTCTCGTCTTACCTGATCTTTCTCCACCATATCAGCTTTACGTAAAATTTTCATGGCGTACACATGACCCGTGTCTTTTTTCTGTACTAACCGGACCTGAAAAGTGGGTAGTGGTGGGATAACAGCATGTCACCAAAGTAGGGTACAGTTGTAAATAAAAACAGTCCAAGTTCAACCAACAAGAGTTGTGACCAACAAAATATAAATCGTCCAAGACACAAGTATTCACCAATCAACTAGGTATTGATGGTATAAAAAACATTTTAAAATGCGACAACAGTTATTTTAAAGTGATCAACCTAAGAATGAGATCAGAGCATAAGCTGTCTTATCAAGTCAGCTATTAAGATGTTACAACGGTGACCACATATAAATAGTCATATTGAAGAATCTAATAGTTTTGGGGTATTCATATACACTTTCAACTAAGGACAGGTTTCCTTGCTTTCATATAAGATCTGTACAATTCTCCAAGGAGACTCACCAGCTAACCCGGGAGGTAAAATAAGGTTTCGTGTACTCAAAGTGTCATTTAACACCTTGTTCTACCGGGGGAAAATTCGATATGGAATTATCGATTAGATTCATTAAGAAAAGGACCCCTAAAAATCGATTTTTTTTCTTCTCAAGTTCAGCGTCCAACAATTATTTTATCTGAATGATGTTTGAGTTAAAACTATAACCAGGGGAATCGAATTGTGTGTGTATATATGTGTGTATGTATATATACATATATATATATATATATATATATATATAATATATATATATATATATATATATATATATATATATATATATATATATATATATATATATATATATATATATATATATATATATATATATATATATATATATATTATAAAACCACCCAGTAGGCTCCCGATTACACTGAACCTTTACTTAAGAAACAATAGCCTTTAAACACCATTAGGTGCCCGGTTCTCATTTAATATATCGAACGTGAAAACGTTTTTTAATAACAATATCGATCATAAGAGAACGTTTTAAAGCCACACCAACAACAAAACTATCGACCATAGGACAATTTGTTTAATAGAATGGGCTGTGGAGACACCCACGAGTGCTAAAAATAGCTAAACTATGGTTAGGTGGTCAGAGAAGGTTATACTATAGACGTATGGATCACATTTATATTTTTTAGATGTAACTTTTGAAGAGTACTAATGTAAGGTGTGTCAAGGCTGTCATTCAACCAAATACACAAAGAAAAAATGAAAACTAATTTCTGCCCAGCTAAAACCGGATTTTTTTTTTTTGCCGCCGAAGAGTACATAACTATCTACAAGCACGTATACAAGCCTGTGTCAATACCTACACCCTAATGACGTCAATAGCTGACAAATAACAAGCACGTTAAATAAACCACACCAACGTTTACGTGATCAGCCAAGCATGTCTTGATTAACAGCTGCACAGGTATTAATAACTATCTCAATCAGATTACAGCCAAGTTAGCCTGCTTGAGTGCTGCTGTTGGCTAATGACCACTTTATTACTGAGCACATTCCAACTACATTCACGCTAATACTTATATTATAAAACACTAAACTAGACGTTTCAATGGGAATATAATGTCACTACCTAACATAGTCTAACACAAGGACACATGGTTAAGAGCTACGAGGAAGAAAAACGATCGGGTTTGCGAATCAATGTAACCTTTGACTGACAAGTTTACAACTGATTGGAGAATTCGTGAGGTTCCCATGTGTAGGTATGTTGTAATTTCAACAATCACCACCAGGTCGACTACGCCTTTACGACTACCGTCGAAGGTAACCCTGGGCCCTCGCGGGTATCATTCGTAGGGTTACTGTACTACAACACTGCCTCTTTAACGGCCCTGTTTTACCGAACAATTTAATATGAAAAGTTCACCATGCGGTGATCAAGCAACTAAAAATGTAGAGAACTACATAAACTAGATACGGCATGCTACAGGGCTTTAATTATCAATCCAGAGGATAAATTGCTGCAAACACTAATAAATTTTGCTTTGATAAACTTTAACCCGTATTTGATAATGGTGCAAGCCAAACGTCCACCAGGTCTTAACACTGACGTTATTTCATACAAGACCCCCCCCCCCCCGATTTAGGCCAGGTTTACTGGCGCTGCATGTTGAAATTTCGTGACCCAAAGCTAACATTAGGTATCAACGTTAAATCAAGCAGATCACTGGTTCTAAAAATAAATAGTCAATACTGAGAGCAAGGCTGGGTTGGATCAGTTTTCTAGATCAGTACAAATCGAACTGACAGGAAACAAAAGATATCAACGTATTTAACCTGAAATGAAACCATTCACAGGCGAGGTTTAAGGATGAAGACACCATTGTCAAGGTTCGCAACCTAAAGGTAGTCAAAACGAAATCATAGAACCGTTGAAAAAGGAACGTTCCAAGTCAGGAAATCTTGAAGTGGTGTCGAATAATAGAACAGGAAATACGGTGTTTGATTTAAAACTACACGATAAGGCTTCAGTAGCATATTTTTTTATGTGTTAAAAATGCAATCTCTAAAACTTTCAACTTGTCCATATTTCAACTACAGTGACAACTAAATGTTCCACTTGGCTGGGTAGTGATGTCACAAGACTAGATAAACACGGTGTGACAATGGCTAATGCAAGCTTTAACTAGCATCAAACTTCTCAGGTTATTTTAAATCTTTATTGCAGTTACTATTGACATAGTCAACGTTTCTTGTTGCGCCAAAAACTATTTATGGTGGTCTCTAGTTACTAAAATATTTGGTCCCATTACTAATCACATGGGAACTATCACATTACAAAAACAATTGATTTTTTCCCCAACGCATGGATTCAAGTCAGCAATCAATATGTCGATGCAATCAATAAAATGAAAGGCTTTAACCAAGTTGCAAATCTAATTGGCCAGTGCATTCAAATGCATTTAATAATGTATCCGTTATTTGCAAAATGACACACAATGTGTTAAACTGAAATCCACGAAATGGCCAATAAAACAATTTAATCAGTAGGTAAGTTATGTTTTTTAAAGAGTTAAAGTACGGAAAATATTTTTTAAACTTTTTCCCCAGAAAGAAATGTGTCAATAAGCTCTGAATCCTATTATAGAAAGTTAAACCAATTTTTTAAAAAAAAAACATATTCAAGTTGTCTGTTTTTATTGCGAATTTTATATTCCTTCAAATTTTAATAACCTGTCATAATCCATTTAAACTTAGTTCTAAAAACTTTGTTTTACATTCAGACCATCGGTCGATCCAGATGTGGGTCATATAATTATATAATCTTTGCTTCATGCAAAGATTTAACATAGCAATAGTGTGTACAAGCATCCAAAATCGGTCAGATCTGACCACAACAGCCCTAACGGGGAGATTATATCTATTTGAATATTAGAGCGATATTCCCGCTGGAACGGTTGTACACAACGCCAATCCACCCCCCCCCTCCCCCCATTACCCTTAGAACGGCCATGTAAAATGCATAGGGTTGTAGTGAATCTATGTGTCTGGGGTCTGTCAACTAGAGTTGTCGAATTAGTTCCGTTGTTGTTTCCCATTGTCTAGTTTAAACATTTAGGCAAACGTTTTGACAAACTATCGATCAATACATAACTATTAAATCATAAAATTGTGTATCAGCTAGCGATCTAGAATAATAAAACTTAAATAAGATGAATCATAGCCTGTTGTCTGATTAAAATGACATAATGTAGACCCTAATGACATTTTTTCATAAAAGTCTATTAAGAAGTTAAAGACTACGTTTTCTGAATAATTAACTTCAACAGGCCTACTAATTTTGACGCAACAGACAGACCGTGTCAACTAGATCCTGCACGCCATGTAAACAGGGTGAGAAGTTGATAAATAGACATCAAGGTAAGATACGCCCTGATTCATCGGTGGCACGCCTTAACAAGGGAGAAAAAACAAGGATTGACGTGTCTTTGTCAACAAAACAAACCTCTATCCAAAACAAAGACCGATGTCTCGTGACTATCTAAACATGTCTTCGCAATGTTTTGTCAATAAAGAAGGATATTACAAGGTTAAGTTAATGAGAAGGTTCTAGGGGCTGCTTGCTGCTGTTGGTGGGGGCTGTGTACATGGGCTTGATCAATACGTTTAGCCACACATGAGCTACTGTACATTCAGTGTTTCTTCCAGACTTTTTTCTCCGGGGGGGGGGCGTTGGGGGGAGGTGGGAAGAGGAGATTGCACTTGAAATTTTCGGGGGGACATGACGACACTGTTAGATGTATGTATTTTCTATATAATTTACTTTTCATTCGGGGGGGGGGGGGGGAAGCCTGGAAGAAACTCTGTGTACATTATTAGCCTCTTGTGCTGGGTCATGCTCAATGACTACCACAACAGCAGTACATGTCAGAATAGTTGAATTAACAGTCCAGGAGATACACATAACACAACAAAATTGGAATGTCTATGTATAAGAAAAAAAAAACCTCTCTTAGTTTCTACAAACTTAAGGGTCAGATAAATACAACTGCATACAATTTGCAACCTCGAGCCGTAAAACCAATGAGATAGAATACATTAGCATCTACAACATACTTAAGTTGAATGGCTGTCGAGAGATGGTTCAGATTAGAGCTAGCGTTAAATACATGGTGTTTAAGTATTCTCTCAACATGAGGTCTTTTTGTTCAGGCCCTCTCCTTAACGTTGCCTCTGCCATTCAATGAATTACATAGCAACAGTTTATTTTCAGCTCAAACCTGATGATGTAAGCCGCTAAATAAAGGAACACATTCATCTATTCATAGATTTTCTCAAGAGAATAAAGTAGTGCTATTGTTTTTCCCCCTTACGCCAGTTAATCTTCCTGTTTAGGACGGGACGAATATTCAAGTAGTTAAACAAACTTACCTCCCCGAAAGCTCCTCGCCCTATAACCTTTAGTGACTCGAAGTCATCCACGCCCAATCTTGACCTTTTAAGTCGAAGAAATTCTGTTTCTTTTAGAGCGTGTTGCTGCCGCCGTTCACTTTTCTGTCAACAAAAGAAAACAATTATTCAAGACTATAGATATAAACTTGGCTTAATGCCATCACATAGTACTTAGTAGTTCAGTAAACAAAAAACAAAAATTACTTTTTTTCTTCGTCTCATAAAAGAAGCCCAAACTTTGTTATTATATCTCATCATATTATGGTACAATAGTACAGTAGCTTCCCCTGAGTGGGATCATTCCTGCATACAAATGGGATTAAAGGGGTGCAGATGTGGAACATACAGCAATAGTTTAACAGGGTAGACGAAGCCAGTTGAGATGTTAGGATGGTATGGTGTCGCTGTTTTAACAGCGTGACTAAGCGCGTGCATGTTTAGAGATGAGTCACGCACGCAGACAATGCGAGCTGCCACTTGTTACGATGATGCTCGGTGACTCAAGAACCATGACAAACGGTGCCCAGATTGTCAAGTAAAGACCAAACTATAAGTCTGTTACAGAGAGATACATAGTAATAGGTTTCTAATCACGAAATACTTCTCAATCGGGGGAAGACAAATGTTTTAAGTCATTTGGTTTAAAAATCGGTTTTATTCTTCAATGATTTGATCCTACTATAATTTTGGCAGAATGTGAAGGACAACTTTACACGAGGCTGTCCCCTAACTGCTAGTATCGCTTTAGTTACATTTTACTACATGCAACTTTTATTATGTGTGGCAATGTAATATTCATCTGTTGCCGCACAGCATGCATCTACACAAGCACGTAATGGTTATAGTTAGATCAACAGACAAGAAGCTTCGTGAAAACCCCATTAATTAGTAAAACATTGCTATTAATTGAATGCTGTTGAAATATTTTAGCGCGTATTAAAATGTGACAATAAACCCATTAGCCTAAACTATACACGAAGCTAAACAGAAATAGAAAACCCAACACGCATACATGATCTTTTTAGCAATTTTGCAAGGCTTGAAGACGACAGATAGGCATCTTCACATCTTAATGCGGACGTCAGCCACACAACAAAATACGACAAGGTGAAAACAGTTGCAATCAGATTAGAAGATACAAACTGGCGGACCTATCACTTTAATCTGGTTGGACAAAAATATTTAACTGACTCAAGTTGTAACATGAATACCGGATTTCGTGGCTTTACAGTCCCATTAATAGCAGAATAAATTAAACTTTAAAATATCTTACTGGGAAAGCAGGGACAGAACTTGCGATTTTTTAAGTAATAAGATACGATAGTGTGTGTGTGTGTGTGTGTGTGTGTGCGTGTGTGTGGGGGGGGGGGGGGATAGAACAAGAAGCAGGGTTGCTGGAAGAATTGCTATCAAATGTCACCAGATATAACAAGTTTTAAGAGAAATTCTAAATCAACTGAGAGAAGAGCAAAGAAGGTTAGAGGGTTAAATAACATTCAAGAGTAAAACTGATGGCAGCTATCTGTGATAAACATGCCGATAAATTATCTTAATATATACTGAACGGCTAACATATTTGATACAAAAATGACAAAGTACGCGTTTATGACAACCATGGATTTTTATAGGTCTACTTATTGCTGTTGTATGTTGGCTACTAAATATTCCAAACTAGCATAACCTAACTTCACTATGTTACTTTAGCACTAGAGCCCGTGAAACGAGCCTACATTTCAATGAGTGTTTACTACAACTGTGACACTAAGCAATTGATACCCTGAAGTTTATTGCACGCTGGCGCCAAATTTAACAGAAACTCTACACTCGAGCTGATGTCACAACAATACATTATCTGATATTCATGTGATCCGACAATGTTAAAAGAAGCTAGCGTTTTGAATGTCAACTATTTTTAACTGTCCAAAATGTCAAAACAACGCGGATATACTAGATAAAGATCATATTTACAACAAGGCGCAAGTGGCCTAGCATGTACAGAATATTCAATGCACGGTCAATGTTGGTTTTATAAAAATAATTTTACAACTTTTTTATCAAGTGGATGTAAACTAAATAGCTCTGTGTGGCTTAACCGCGTGTAAAAGACCCTTGTTTAAGCTACTATGATAGCTAACCTCTTTGTTAACGTTACCTGCATCAGTCCTCATTTCTTACTAATAGCTGTGTTTGACTGTGGTAAAATGTGCATGTATGTCTACAGTCTATCTTGTTGCCTTTATTTTTACCAGAAGCCAAGGGATTATAGTGGTCTGTCACCATGTCTGATACCCCCCTCCCCTTGCACTATTGTAGGGGAACTAGACACCCATAGCCAAGTGTTTTAAACTGAACAATGCTAGCCCTGTACCAAGGATGAGGAATCAATAACCCATTAACCATCTACACATGTTTGTTACAAACAGACGTAGGCCCAGCATACCACAACATTTTAATACTGGATTAAACAGACAACATCAGAATGAACGGGCAGGTGATCTTAATTAATTTATTAAAGTGATTGTAAGCGTTTACGAAACAAATATCCAACAAAGACGAGTGGTTTTAATCAGTTATTTAACCAAACAGTGTTCAAAATGCTGATCGCGAAGTATCTAAGTGGAAGGCGAGTGTATCTACAACATGAGTATTCGGCAGATCAAAAGTATTAGTGATGCTTAAAATACATCACCCTAATACAATGATTTAGAATCTATAGAGTGTAGTACATAATTCAAGAGGGCTGAGAATAGCTGATGAATAAGAATCTGTTTTCTGTTTTGAAGCTATAAATAGAAACAGGAAACGAACTCACGCCACTGTGTCTGCAGTGGTTGGTTCATACGTCCAGGTGCTGGTTTAGCTCGTGTACTAAACCAATTGTACTCGCGAGCAGGGGTATGCGAGGCGGAAGGAAATTTGATTGTGTGGGCGTGGGATGGGGGGGTGGGGGGCTAAAGAGCAGTGCTGCTTTGGCTTTAAGATAATGAGAAGTAAAATCACAAGGCTTGACCTTTAAACGCCATCTTCAGGTCTAACGGCGCGACGGGGTCAGCACCGAGCACTTCACAAATCAAGCTTGGAGGGCATGTTAATAAAGCACACAAGAAAATACTTCAGACAGCTTCGAGTGATCTCTGGTATCAAGTAGAAATAGCAGACAGATAAGCTGATACTAACAGTTGATGGAGTTGCTTATAAAGGGGAGGGGAGGGGGTGAAACAGACTTTCTACCGGCACTAAAAGTACACCTGCGCTAAAGCTGATTCCATTTCAATAAACTCCCACACGCGTACTACACAAAAAAATAGCCTCAAGGAAAGCCATCTACTATATGTTTAACCGTTCCCTCAATTTATTCTACATCTTTACTCACAAATCCTAATTAAACAGCACCAGAAAAAAATAATTAAAGTGCTGAGTCAGTAAAGTTATCTAAACGCACTAACAATAGTTACTCGGGCGAATTGTTCCTCGGCTTTAAACAACACCAACCAAAAAAGGCTTCGCTCTAGTGCTGACCCAATAGAATAGTTCTCCATGCTTCAGTAATCACCAGCTTGATGGCTACAGCCACCTGTAGCACCTGTCGTTAAGACATGTGGGAGCGCCTGGGAATGTTGACATACACTCAACAGGCATTTAGACACCGTATAGCATCAGGTGACTCACAAATATGGTCAAAACTGTGCAGGGGAATTAGCGTTACCATGCCAACATACGTGTATGTCTTATACATATTATACGTACAAGTTTCCACACAAGAGCATAAATAAAAACATAACCAAGAGCCTAATATTTACACATTCACAAATATTATGGTTATTTACTTCAGCTTTTTCTTCAAATAAAATTTCGTTTAAATTACTTACTACATTACTAGTACATTAGAGCGTTCTAAAATAAAACGCTAATATTGAAGAAAACTGATTTTTCAGCAAATTAGATACATACACCTAAAGTGTTAACTTAAAAAGTGTTAACTTAAAAGAATATTTCAATCTCCATTGTGCAGACTAGAGTATTTAGTAAAGTACGTGGAGGACTTTTTTTTTTTAAACGGCCGATCAGAAAGATTGTAAGGCTTTTAACTTGTGGTCTTGAAAACAAGATTAACAACCACTGTCATTTAGGGCTTCAATTATTTACCCGTGCCATTTCAGTCAACCTTTTTTTTTGAGCTTGTTTTTCATTCAGATGACATGTCAAGCTGAATGACCTACAACACACAATAAGACGTGCATTTGCAGGTCACGACTGCAGCTCACTAGCGTGTCAAACATGTATACCTAGACGGACGTGAACAATGCACTAGTTGCGAACAATGCTAAGCTCGTGTCTGTTAATGAACAAACGTTGTGTATTGATTTTGTTAGCAGCTTTGAGAAAAAACAAAACATGAGATATTCTAATGCTATATATGTTGAACCTGACGAAACGACCGAACAATACTAAATTAGCATAATGTAGACAATCTACTTAGCATACAAGTAATTTGACCATCTAAACAGGGTGCAAATATCAGTATAAACTATAACAAGGATATTGTTTTTAAAAAAATATAGTCAAGGTTATAATTACTTAACTTTTAAAAAATAAAATGACAATAAAAGTATGGATTTTTTTTTAACTGCAGAAATTAAGCCGTATTTTAAAATCCCCAGTGACCCAGGCAAAGCACATGTTGCCACAGATGTGAAATGTTTGGTCTACTTATCCAGCACGCTCCTATTTTCACTTTATAGCTCGGCTGTTTTAAACGCAGAGCTGGCAAGACTAATTACACATCAGAAACGGCTTCAATGGTATCAGTGGGGGCGACCACCACAAAAAGGTTGGGACCCATCGGCTTTGAGCTTGGTTTTATGTTAACTGTGACCTTCCCATAACCTCGGCATAGGTGGCCAATGGTTACGCTTCAGTGACCAGCAGTACTAGGTAGTAGAAAGGTGATTGTCCTAATAACAATAAAATGTCTTGACCTAAGTGTATTCACCCCTTGTACCAACCTACACAGCACTCATGCCTACCTGTGCCCGCCTCGAGATTGTGATAGTACGTTGATCGCAGTATCAACTACAACACTAGGACTGGTAGTGTTTATCAGTCTCAAAGTTCGATTTAGTTTAAAAACAGTTCAGAAAACCAGAGTTTCTTCCAGGCATCTCTTCGGGGGGGGGGGGGGGGGGGGGGGGGCGAAGCCCCCCCCCCCCCCCGAAAAATATTTACCGCCCCCCCCCCCCCGAACGAAATGAAATTTATATAATTTATATAGAAAATATATACTTTTAACAGTGTCCGCCCCCCCCCCCCCCCGAAGAAAGTCTACAGCCCCTCCGAAAATTTCAAGTGCCCCCCCCCCCGGAGAAAAAAGTCTGGAAGAAACACTGCAGAAAACCAACATTAAGTCAGTAGTGCTTATACTTGTCCTGGCCTTTTTAACAATATTTTCCAGCTAGCAAAGAAAAAAAATTCCACACTGACTTTACAACGAACTTGCTTACAAACAAAACAAAAATATAAGGCAAAACCCATTCCATGCCATGCCTTAAACAATCTTGCTTTCTAACAATAAAGAAACCACATAAAGAAAACTAACGGGGGAAAAGTGTTACCCACACCTTTGAGTTTAATAAAAAAAAAAAATTCTTATAAAGCATGTATCACCAAGCTGGATCACAGAGACCCTCCCGGAAGTTCGATTATTACACACGAAAGTTTCTTATATTGACTTTACAAACGATCAAAGCAAGAAGAAGAAAAGCAAGCAACTGTTCACGTTTTTCACCTCTACTTGAAGTGAGCTAAAACAAATAAAAACGCCATTCTACAAGAAGCAAGTATGTACCTGTTCTTCCGAGAGGCCTTCTTCATCCATCGTCTTTTCCAATCGACGGTACCTGAAACATACAAGTTCTAATGTAAAGTATGCACAACAAAGCTATTGTGGTCGGATTGTTGTGCACAGTTTTGGATGAGTAGAGTTTAGTAAACTCTTGTCATTTCTTCTGCATTTTCTAGAGATATATTTATCATAATGCGTTTTCCTAATTCGTATGAAAAGCGTCTTTTAAAAAGTGATGCCAATAGCATGATTTTTTCTCCTTTTGTTTAAATCAGATAACTTATTTGGAGTAAAAACACTGACAAATTCGGCCAGACATTTTTTGAACTGCATAACCTCGAGTTCCCCCCCCCCCCCTCTCCCCTCCCGTTTCCTTGTGCACGTGAATGTAAAGGTTGGTGTAAATTGTAACCAGGGGGTAGTAAAAAAAATCTTGACCTAGATACTTAAAAGCTGTTTTATTGGGATACTGTTAGCTTACAGGTAAATTGAAATATGACAAAATATGCAGTCAGTTGGTCCACTAACCTAGTACTTTAAACGCTGTACCAGTGTACCAGAAAGGTGGGGTGTTACGGGCCAGTTGTAGGTTAGTTTAGAATAGGTTAGAATAGTCTAGAACTAGGGGAGAGTGCCTGTGTGAGTGGAGTTCACCTTACTGTGTAGTTACCCTTGTGTGTTTATGTCTTGTAATCCCAAGGTCGAATGCGGGTATAAAAGGGCGAGTGAACGATTGTGGGGGGAGAGTCAGCGGGTTAGTAGCGGTTAGGGACGAGGGCTGTTCTGGTACGCTTGAATGCATTGAGACGAATAAAAGTAGTGAAGTTAAACACGAAGCGTTGTTATTGATTTGAAATGAACCCAGAACGTAACATGGGGCGTGTAAAAAAAAAACGTGTGGTGTAGGGTTACCGACAGGAGAACCTATGGAAACACTCCCTTATTGATGATGTCCGTTACATTGTAAGGATCGCTAACACATGTTGAGCACACGTGTATTTAAAATGCAGACCAATAAACTAGCGAATGTACAAATCCAAACCGAATTTTATGACAGTACTAGGCATTCTGCCTAGCTTCGCTTAGGTTTTCAAAAACATTTGATAATTTGAATACTAATTATTTGGTGATGGATGAGGCGTGGAGTTCTTAAATCTAAACAGTAATGCTAATTTTAGAGAAGATGTTGTATGTTGTTTAATATCCGCTTTCGAAAATACGCAATTTATAACTAAAACTAGAATACCCGTCATCCCTTGGATAACTGTGGGTTTCGGGGGTCATCCATCAAAAAACATCACGTCTGTCACTCAGAGGCATAGCGAGCCTTCCCGGCGCCCGGGGACAAACTTTTCGATTTTAACCCCCCCCCCCCCCCAAGATTTCGATTTTCAACCCCCCCCCCCCCTCAAACTTTTGATGTGCACCCCCTCCCCCCCCCCCACTCAAACGTTCGATTTGAACCCCCTCAACCTTTCAATTTATTTTTCCAAACCATTTTGGCGCCCCAACATACGTCACCCCGCCCCCCCCCCTTCACCTCCCCCCGCCTCCCCTTCCCCCCCCCCCGCCTCCCCCCCCCCCCCGCCTCCCCACCCGCCCCCCCCCCCTCCTCGCTACGCTACTGCAGTGTCACTTATCGTCACAAAAACAGAGCCCACATTCAAAAATATGTTTCTTATCTTTTAAAAACACCGAAAACACCGATTTCGGACTATCCCTTCATATACTGACGTCACATGTGACCTACTCAACTCTACTTCACCTGCCCAGTGTCCCGCCAAGTCTCAGACAACATGTTTTTATCGTTTAAAAAACGATTCCAGCCGAGCATGTCTCTGACCACACTATCCTTTCATATGGTTAGGACAAAGAAACAGATGAACTCTACTTCACCTGCCCTGTATCCTGCCAAGTTCAGATAGGCAACTTTATCATTAACATCTAAAAAAAAAAATTGAAAAAAAAATATCATTGACATATTGGTCTAGAACCTGTACCACTCGCATGAGAGCGGACTACGCTACAAACTTAGCTATTTACTCGTGACGTCACAAATGAATTTTTATACTATACTTTGATGCAACTTGATTTCGAGCGTCTAGTCTAGAAGTAGTAACTTTCAAATTAAATTTTATCTTAAATTAGCCAAACAAAGATTTATATAAAATAATTTAGGCCTGAAATAGATTCTAGATGTATTAAGGCCTGAAATAGATTCTAGATGTAGAATTTACATTAAGTCTAGATTTAGAATTTACATTGAGTTTAGTGATCTAGATCTAGGCTAGATTCATAAATTTCCTTCGACAGCTGATCTTTAGATCTAGAGAAATTTATTGTAAAACTAAATGAAAAAAGACAGTTGAAAATTGATATAAGTGTGGAACGTAATAAATACAGCAAACGGACGTATTGTTAAAGTTATGACCGACAGAAAATTAGATTTAGAACGCGTTAAACTTTGGAATGGGAACACAATTTTCTTCGATAGACGCCGCCATTTTATTGTACTAATTTAACTAAAGAGTCAACAAAAAACTCTGACGTCACTATCAAGGGACGTCACTATCCCCACAAAGTTTATTCAAAGTATTAACATTTTTAAAAAAATACGGTTAATTTAACAATGAATAAATCAATAAATTAATTAACGTCTTTTAATAAATTTGTGATTAACAGTCTGTCTGCATTAAAAAATTATTCTCTACCTACATACTATTTTACAGCGCTCCAGATAGAGCCGAACATATCAGGATACTTGATCAGGCAAACAAACAAAAAAACAAACAAACAAAAAAATAAATATTCAAACATGTAAACAAACTTGACTTTTAGTAGTATATAGATGGAAATAGAACTACAGAGGTTCCGTGAACAGCATATCTCACAATTTATATTACATTGACTTTTAAAATTAATTTTTTATTTAATTATGATACGTAGCTTAATTAACAACTTATTTTTTTTTAAACAAATGCTATACTTTGTCGTTTTCTGTTTCTGTTTAAAATAGTATACAATAATTTGACAAAAAAAATTATTTAAAAAGGTTACCTCCCTTGAAAATTAACCGAATGACGTATGTCAGTGTTTACTTTTTTTTTTAAACAGTTACTATGCTTATATAAGAAAATACGATATATAAACATATTTAACGTCTACAATGGCTTTTTCCGACGGGAATAAAGTTTTTTTGTTACCCTCCAGGGTCGGTCTACGACCTCAAATAATATTAAGGGGATCGATCGTCAATTTATTTATATATATCTCATATAAGGAGAATTTCACTCGCGGTCATCTTTTAGCACTGGTCGAGGGCTTTGAGTCTGACCAACAGTTTTTCCATACGGCCTAGTCATCTATAGAAGTGTATGCAAAACATTAGCATGATGTACAGAGGTTAAGTAACGTAAAAATTGTGTTGAAATTACCCTGTTTTTCCCATAAAATACAAAGATTATATAGGGAAATACGACTGGTCAGTTTTGACCCCTTTACGAAGTTTTCCCAGATATGCCGAGTTTTTTGTGACACCCCAAGGCGTTCTCCTACCACCTCACAAAATATCAAGGGGGGTCGTCGGAGGAAAAAGTTTTTCGTAATAGAGCTCATATAAAGAGAATTTCACTCGCGGTCACTTTTTAGCCCTCCTCGAGGGCTTTGAGTGAAACCGACAGTTTTCCCTAAAGGTCAAGCCATTTACCTAAGAGTATGCAAAAAATTAGCCAGATATACTGAGTTTAAGTACCCTAAAGTCTGCGTTGAAATGACCCTATGTTTTTCCCATAAAATACAAAGATTATATAGGGAAATACAACTGGTCAGTTTTGACCCCTTTACGAAGTTTTCCCAGATATGCCGAGTTTTTTGTGACACCCCAAGGCGTTCTCCTACCACCTAACAAAATATCAAGGGGGGTCGTCGGAGGAAAAAATTGTTCGTAATATAGCTCATATAAAGAGAATTTCACTCGCGGTCACTTTTTAGCCCTCGTCGAGGGCTTTGAGTAAAACCGACAGTTTTCCCTAAAGGTCAAGCCATTTACCTAAGAGTATGCAAAAAATTAGCCAGATATACTGAGTTTAAGTACCCTAAAGTCTGCGTTGAAATGACCCTATGTTTTTCCCATAAAATACAAAGATTATATAGGGAAATACGACTGGTCAGTTTTGACCCCTTTACGAAGTTTTCCCAGATATGCCAAGTTTTTTGTGACACCCCCAGGCATTCTCCTACCACCTTACAAAATTTCAAGGGGGGTCGTCGGAGGAAATTTTTTTTCGTAATAGAGCTCATATAAAGAGAATTTCACTTGCGGTCACTTTTTAGCCCTCGTCGAGGGCTCTGAGTAAAACCGACAGTTTTCCCTAAAGGTCAAGCCATTTACCTAAGAGCATGCAAAAATGTAGCCAGAAGTAAAGAGGGTAAGTGCCCTAAAATCCGTTTTGAAATGACCCTCTGTTTTTCCCATAAAATACAAAGATTATATAGGGAAATACGACTGGTCAGTTTTGACCCATTTCCCGATTTTTCCCGGACATGGCGAGTTTTTTGTGACACCCCAAGTCGTTCTCCTACCACCTCACAAAATTTCAAGGGGGGTCGTCGGAGGAAAAAAATTTTCGTAATAGAGCTCATATACAGAGAATTTCACTCGCGGTCCTTTTTTTAGCCCTCGTCGAGGGCTTTGAGTGAAACCGACAGTTTTCCCTAAAGGTCAAGCCATTTACCTAAGAGCATGCAAAAATGTAGCCAGAAGTAAAGAGGGTAAGTGCCCTAAAATCCGTTTTGAAATGACCCTCTGTTTTTCCCATAAAATACAAAGATTATATAGGGAAATACGACTGGTCAGTTTTGACCCATTTCCCGATTTTTCCCGGACATGGCGAGTTTTTTGTGACACCCCAAGTCGTTCTCCTACCACCTCACAAAATTTCAAGGGGGGTCGTCGGAGGAAAAAATTTTTCGTAATAGAGCTCATATAAAGAGAATTTCACTCGCGGTCACTTTTTAGCCCTCGTCGAGGGCTTTGAGTAAAACCGACAGTTTTCC